AGTGCTAGACAGTGAACTGTCAACGGGGGGGAGCCCCGCCGGTCATTATCGGCCGATATTCACTCTTAATAGTTTGATCGGTGCTCTCTATAAAGGCCGATCAGGAGAGCTGGATCTGATCGATATGGACATAAACGCGAGTGAAGTGTAACCGGACGCGAGAGAGAGATCAGATCAGCTGCTGAGTCTGACCGAGACACGCAGCTCTGCATGATCACCTGAAGCTCCGCCCTCTGTTTAGCGAGCTGAATACGCAAATTGCGTATATGAAGTGTCATGAACGCAAGAAATCATACCCTCGTGGGGGCGCGCTCATGTGATTGGCTTAGAATGAAGGAGACATCTGATTGGCTATAGATAGAATAAATTACAAGTACGAATCGGGTGAGCGTCAGGGGAGTCTAAAAAAACCCACACACGAATGCACAGCGATCCGTGCACAGAAAGCGGTTTGTGTTTGCAGGTGCAGAGGTTTTAAACGGAAAACAAATATGTGAGGATCAAAAATACATATGTAAAACTTTTTTCTGTATTTGGATTGTATTTACATGTATATGAAACGGAATACATTTGTGTGTGCATTGAAAAACACAAGTGTGGATCCGGAAATACAAGTGTGAATCATTTTGCGGATCATGAAATACAAGTGTGAATCCTTCTGTGTGCATGTGTGTATTATGAGACTGTTCTGAGTGCATGGATGTAATTGACATGATGAGTTGATGTTCACTTTATGAACAGTTTCCTGATAAGACAGTATCACCTTTTAACTTGCCTTTGCTATGACGATAAAAAAAAAAAAGATTGTGCAACCCTAATGCAAGTGCATGTGTTGCATCTGTCATTCATTGTCTCAGTAGGCTTAAGTGTATAATCCTGTTGTTTTGTAGTTGCATATGAAGGCAAATTGAGGGAGAGACCCCTGATTCTCATACACTTTCAACAGAGAGGATACCTAACAGAGGTTGAATTCCATATGTTTTCAAGCCCCTCTCCAGTTCTTTCCCATATATGAGCTGAATTGAATCGAATGTATCCAATTGAATGTGCCCCAATGACTGATATGTGAGGCAGGGTCTCCAGTCTCAAACTGAAATAGTTTTGGTCGTGCTATCCAGGATTTGATTCCCTCAGCCAACCAGCCGTGACCAGTTTGTGATGAGATGCTGGTCTCCAACCGAGCTGTAAAAATCACATCCATGCTGTTTCACCTTAGCTGAGGCACACAACACTGAGAGAAGGAGGAATACAAAAAAAAGACAAATAGAGAGAGTGAAAAAGAGAGGGGGAGAGAAAAGAGAGAAAATAGAGGGAGAGATAACAGGAGAGAAGACTAAAAAACTTCCGGAAGCATATAAGAGTGTATAAGAATAGTCAAAGCTTTCATGCACACACACTCTTTTTAGAGCTTCTTATTTTTGTCTTAGTTTCACCCTTAGTTTAATATTTTTTCGCAGGTTAAAATATGTGGCTGTGGTCTTAAATTGGTCAGCGAATAGGATTTAGAGGAACTGCACCTTCATTTAATTTATTGTGTGATAAGAGAAAAACAGTGAAAAGACAAAACCTTTGGTATTCTAATTACAGAGTGATCTGCATATATTCAAACAACAATGTATTAGCCCAAGGTAGAGTCTCTATGCTCTGACAGGAAGAATACAAGTATTTTTCTTCTTTTCTGTTAAAAGGAGCAGGCACGGAGGCACCCTGGCAAACCCTCATTATGTTTTGAAGATCCGTCTTCCCCTGCAGCACCCAACCTATGCACCTTTTTGCTCAACCTAGCTGAAACAGATAACAGTGAGCAGCCGCAACCAGGTAGAAAGGACTGCATTTGAATGTCAACCGTCAAATATCAGAGGAGAAGCTACAAATGGCAGAGCAACTTTGTCGTAAAGACGCACATTATCTCAACATGAAGCGTATCCGATAAGGTGAATAAAAGCCATGGGACTTTTAATCATGATATTGGGGATTTAGAAACTGAATGGCATTAGTTTGAGGTTGCCTAAGGTAGCCTTGCATGCAAAATTAAAGCAATTCATAAGAGACGCATAAAGAATAGTCATGGTAGGAGCTATTTTAATAATCGATGCACTGCTTTATTCATGCAAATACCATCTAATTTGTAATTATCAGAGTGGGTGCATGTTTGGAATATTTTTTTAATTATCCCCTTAGTGTATAAGTTACCGCACCCACCCATCTATAGCTGCCGATCTTAATGAGGTAACTAGAGTACAGTAGCTCAGTAAAGGGTGAACACTAACACACTGATGTACAGTTTTCCAGACATTTATGATGTTGTACAGTACATTATTGTGAGGCTCAGTCACCACTGATTTGGAACCAGGCTTGCCATCACATGATAGTGTAAGCGATAAACACCAGTCAGGGTTGTTACAATGGTGACATCAGTTTGACTATGTTACTTATACGTGTGTGAGTTGTTTGCGTGTGTGTTTATAAGCTGGATATTCCATGTGTTTGCATTAAAAGTTGCCTGACCCCAACTTCTCTGATGCAACTTGTATATTGATGCACAGACAAACAGTACGTTTGCAGTTGTCTCCAGAGGACTCGAACACTGATAGAATGACACAGGTGCACGCTCACCTAGTCGATAAACAATCTGAACACCACAAAGGAACAATAGCCACCATTATATTGCCCACCGAGCAAACACGTCCTTTTAAAATGTCAAATGAAAAAGCTGTTGCAAGGGTGCGGTGTTCTATTGATTCAAAATCGGCTCATCATTTGACCACCATGCCCAATTTATGGACTCTCCTCCATCTTGGACACAAAGTGGTGGAGACTGTTATTTAAAAAAAATCTGGAAAACCAACGGAAATCTTTAAGTCATCATTGTAGTGTATGAAAAGAAGTATAGGAAACTAACGTAACAACACTGAAATGTTCCATTTGTGTATAAGTGTTGAAAGAGCAATGGAGGATCAGAAGCTGCAACAAAACCTCGACTGGCAAATTGTGGATGCTGAAAGGTGCTTCACTGGAAACTGCTATATCTGTCCCGTCTCAAGGTCTGAATATCTACTGTATATCAAATATATTGCAATGGTATTATTGCTCAAACACGGCCATACATTTATACAGCTGATTGATTTTTTTGTGGCTGCTTGCAATTATCCTTCTAGCAAAGAACACCGTTTGCTTCTGTTCCAACAACACAGAGGGCAGAATCATGGCAAAGAAAACATTTCATTCTCAGACCGCTAATATTTCACAGTGTGTGGCTACTGCGCTGATCTTAAAGAATTTGACTGTTTTTGACACCAGGGTCCTTTGCATACAAATGGGCTCAATTTGCGTCGATTGTGTGCATGCTACCTAATTTGAAAACTTGCCACTTGCACAGGAGAAACATGAAGCTATTTGTTAGCCTGTGCAGTTGGGGTACAATACACTCTAATGGGTGTTTTGAGAATTATGGTTTTTTTTGTGTCTTGTTTCTGCAGGTTAAGCTAAATGAACCCCTCTGTTTCTTGTTTACCAAAAACTCACAGGGATAATTTGCATCAACTAGTAACAAGAGTCAGAAATAGCTGTTTAAATAGTGACATAGTAAAACTGCTACTTGGACAGAGACAGAAAGAGAAAAGCAAAGTGCTGTTAGATATGTATGTATGTATGAGTTTCGAGAACGAGTTGCAAATGCTAATACTAATTTCCAATATTCTAAGTCCAAACGGATCATTGATAAACGTTAATTTCCATTATGCTAATCAATTCATAAAGCCCAGAGCAGAGTCTATTTTAAACGGTCTATGGTCTTGAACCATTGTTTGCTGTCTGCGCATCCACCTCTCTTTCTCTTTTCCTCAACTAAACACTCTCTCCGTACACAGTACGCCACATATGCACACACTTGACTTTTTATGATTTCTCAAAATAGTAAACTAAAAAGAAACTAATAAACACATCCACCCTACATCATGAACAACACATCCGTGTTGAAATTGGCAAAAGACAGATAGTTAACGTTAGCTAAGGAGGATTATTTATCTAATTCGTTTTCTAAGAAATGCCCTTACCCCATGGATTTCCTGGATGATTAGAAAACCTTTACAGAGAAAGAACGATGGGGAAGTGAGACTTTAAACAGTACCATCTATGTTAAAGAGATTTCTAATGGCAAAAACTTTGTATTGCAGGGATGTTGTAAAACATTTATAGGATATATTACCTCTTAGTAATTCATTAGAGTAGTAAAGCACAACATACTGCACAAGCTGTCCAGATCATTCAATAAAATCAGTGCTGTGCACATTTACTGAATTACATTCCCACCATTGTCCTGCACTTCTAATCCCATTTGGAGAAGATCAGTGATGTGCGGTGAGGTTCATGGCTGGTGAGAAACTGACTCTTTCAGAGTCAGATTTACAAATATTATATTTTTACCGTAATCGAAATATTCGGTTATTTTCAAAAGCTTTTTTAGTCTGATGCTTCGATTCATTTTAATCAGACCGTTCAACAAAAGGATACCCAACATCTAAATATTGGATTGTTCTTTCTTAGTAAGATCCCATTTTCATTACAATTGTGTTAGGGCTGTACAAGGGCGTGGAATCAAATGCACGATGCAGAGACATACAAAGTATCAAAATAAAGTGTTTGAATGTAGACAGGTCATAACACACTGAATACATAAAGCAATAAAACAAAAACTACTAATATACTAATCTAACTCTATGGACAATGACAAAATAATTTTACGCTGGAAGGCTTGGAACACACAAGACAATCCGGCAACGAGACAGGGGAAGACGAGAACTATATATACTAGACAGACAACACCAGGTGAAGACAATTAGACAATCACAACAGCGGGAAAACAGACAAGGCAGGAAACGTACTTTAGACACATGAGGGTAGACAAGACTATCAAAATAAAACAGGAACCTATCTAAACACAGAACATGAAACCTAAACTAGGGAACAATCTTAGCAGAGCTGTCTACGCACAACAGTACCCTCCCCTCTAGGGATGACACCTGACGGCCCTGGGACCTCCGGATGACACCTGTAGTAGTCCTCGATTAAGTCTTTGCCCACGATAAAACTGGACGGGACCCAGGACCGTTCTTCAGGACCGTAGCCCTCCCAATCAACCAGAAATTGATGACCTCGGCCTCGATTTCTCACTGACAGGAGACGTTTGACAGAGTACACCGGACCGCCATCAACAACACGGGGGGGGGGTTTGGAGGGTGGAATCAGGGGACTGACCAGAACCGGCTTGATTCGGCTGACGTGGAACGTTGGATGAACCCGTAGGGACCTGGGCAGACGGAGACGGACAGATACAGGATTGATTATTTTAGTGACAGGAAATGGACCCACAAACCTTGGAGCGAGCTTCTTTGACAAGACCCTGAGTGGCAGATCCTTTGTGGACAACCACACCCACTGCCCCGGTCTGTATGTAGTTGCCGCCCGCCGCCGTTGATCCGCCACCGTCTTCATCGGGTCCTCAGGAGGACCCGACGAGCTGCAGCCCAGACACGGTGGCATCTTCTGACTAAGGCGTGAGCAGATGGCCCCACCACCTCCTTCTCAGTTTCTGAGAATAGAGGAGGCTGATAGCCAAAGACACAGTGAAAGGGAGACAGACCGGTAGCAGAGGTGGGCAAAGAGTTGCGTGCATACTCCACCCATGTCAGATGCTCGCTCCAGGTTGCAGGGTTCTGAGAAACCAGGCAGCGCAGGCACGTCTCCAGCTCCTGATTCAGCCGTTCCGTCTGTCCGTTGGACTGGGGATGATAACCTGAGGTGAGGCTGACGGACGCTCCCAGGAGGGTGCAAAACTCCTTCCAGAACCTGGAGGAAAACTGAGGACCTCAATCCGACACAATGTCTCTGGGAATACCATGAATACGGACAACATGAGTCAATAACGCCTGAGCAGTCTCTTTAGCTGACGGCAACTTTGGCATGGCAATAAAATGGACCATCTTAGAGAACCTGTCCACTACAGTGAGGACAGTGGTGTTACCCTTGGATGGAGGAAGACCCGTGACAAAATCCAATGAAATGTCAGACCAGGGCCTGCTGGGAACGGGGAGAGGCTGCAGCAGTCCCATCTGTGATTTTGATGACGTCTTGTTCCTGGCACAAACTACACAGGCAGCCACATATTCGGAGACATCCTTAACCAAGGAAGGCCACCAAAACCTCTGTCGAACGACGAATACGGTCCGCTTGACCCCTGGATGACAAGTGAGCAGTAATGTGTGAGACCAATGAATAACCTGTGACCGCATGGATTCAGGCACGAATAGCCTGTCCAATGGACAGCCACTAGGTTTCGGCCCCTCACCATTGACACGTTTCACCTGATCTACTATAGGCCATGTCACCACCCCAACCACATGGGAGAGTGGAAGGATTGGCTCTGGATCCTTGGCCATGGGCTCTGGGTCATGGTGGCGTGAGAGGACGTCAGGTTTGCCATTCTTGGACCCAGGTCTGAAAGACAATGTAAAGTCAAAACGGTTGAAAAAAAGTTGCCACCGGGCCTGGCGTGAGTTCAACCTCTTAGCTTTGCGGATGTATTGAAGGTTCTTGTGGTCGGTCCAAACCAAGAACGGTTGTGGCTCCCCCTCAAGCCAGTGCCTCCACTCCTCCAGAGCCATCTTGACTGCCAACAGCTCTCGGTTTCCGACGTCGTAGTTTCTCTCTGCGGGAGATAGTTTGCGAGACAAAAAGGCACAAGGATGCATCTTATGATCCCCAGCCGCTCTCTGTGAGAGAATGGCCCCCACCCCATCATTGGAGGCATCCACCTCCACAACAAACTGTCATTGAGGATCAGGAACAGTCAGTATGGGAGCTGTGGTAAACCTTCTTTTTAACTCATTAAAAGCCTCCTCGGCCCTGAGGCCCCACACAAAGTTAACCCCTGGTGAGGTCAGTGCATGAAGGGGAGCAGCAACAGAGCTAAAGTTCCTAATAAATCGTCTGTAGAAGTTAGCAAACCCCAAAAACTGCTGTACCTTCTTCCTATTGGTGGGGGTGGCCCAGTATGCTGCACTGCACTGACCTTTGCAGGGTCCATCAGGATTTGTCCAGGAGAAATGATGAACCCCAGGAATGAGACAGTTGATGCATGGAACTCACACTTCTCTGCTTTTACGAACAGGTGATTTTCCAGTAGGCGCTGTAGTACTTGGTGGACATGTTGCACATGAGTCTCCTTATCAGGAGAGAAGATTAAAATGTCATCCAAATACACAAAGACAAACACGTTCAAAAACTCCCTGAGTACATCATTGACCAGCGCCTGGAAAACTGCTGGGGCGTTAGTTAACCCGAAAGGCATTACGAGGTACTCGTAATGTCCTGTTGAGGTATTAAATCCAGTTTTCCACTCATCCCCCTCCCTTATTCTTACCAGATGATAAGCGTTGCGTAAATCCAGTTTTGTGAACACTTTAGCATCCTGCAATAGGTCAAAAGCAGAGTCAATGAGAGGGAGGGGGTATCTGTTTTTTACCGTGATGTCATTCAGTGGACTGTAATCGATGCAGGGACGGAGAGAACCATATTTTTTCTTCTCAAAGAAGAAGCCCGCTCCGGCAGGAGAGGAAGACGGTTCGGACGAGTCCTGCCTTGAGTGAGGTGTCGATGTAATCCTTCATGGACCCCTTTTCTGGAGCTGACAGGGAGTACAGACGGCCATTAGGAATCGTGGATCCTGGCAACAAGTCTATAGCACAATCATAAGGCCGATGGGGTGGTAGTGCACTCGCCCTAGCTTTACTGAAGACTTCCTTTAGATCATGATAACATGTGGGGACCTTTGATAAATCAGGGTAATCAGAAAAATAGTCAGAAAGAGGTTCGTTAGGACAGTCTGCTTTAGAAGTGGAGATTTTCCTCAGTATCAACTTACTCTGATCGTGTACACACTTCTGTTTACACAACATTCCCCAATCTTGTACTTTCCCTGACCGCCAATCAATGACAGGATTGTGCAAAAATAACCAAGGGTAACCTAAAATGATCGGGTGTTGAGCTGATTTAAACACATGAAAAACTATGTTCTCAACATGAGTGTCATTGATTGTCATTTTTACAGGTGTGGTGCAATGAGTCACTGTGAATAGTAGGCGCCCATCTAACACGTTCGCTTTTAACGGCGAAGGTAATGGCGTCAACGTCAGGTTAAGCCTAAGAGCTAGCTCTTTATCCAAAAAACTCTCATCGGCTCCAGAATCTACAAGTGCCCCCTGTTCAATAACCTGATTACCTTCACATAGCCTAACTTGAGTTAATGTGCGTGGAGGGAAGTCAAAAAAGTCAGATTGGCTCACCAGTGTCTTCCCTTTCACCGGCGAGCCTGTTCTTTTACTGGACACATGGCTTGTTGATGACCCTGTTGACCGCAGTAGAAACATCTTGCCTCCACTAGGCGGCGACGTCGTTCCTCCGGTGAGATTCTGGCCCTGTCGAGCTGCATCGGCTCCTCTGAGTCAATGGGGGGCGCTGTGACCTCTGAAGCAGGTGACGAGCCGAATGATGTCGACCTCCGGACAGGATGAACAGCTGTTGAGAACCCTCTGGTTCCGCTGGACGAAACGGCAGTCTTCTTTCTTTCTCTATCTCTCTCACAGATGCAATTGTCAATCTTAATAGCAGCCGCTACCATACTTTCTAAGTCTGTGGGAGGATCCATAAGCAATAAATTATCCTTAATTTTCTCTGATAGTCCGTTCCGAAATATGTCCCTTAACGCTGAATCATTCCAATCGCAATCAATAGCCATAGTGCGGAACTCAATTGCATAATCCGCCACTCGGCGTTGATTTTGCTGAATGTATGTCAAATTCTGTGCGCTCTCTACAGCTGGTGTGTGATGTGCAAACACTCTTTTAAACGAGTGGATGAACTGAGAGACAGAGTTGCAAGTTGCAGAATTTTTCTCCCACTCCGTCGTAGCCGTAGGCTGCGTGGGCTACGGCCGGACAGATGAGAAATGATAAATGCAATCTGAGCATAATCAGAGCTATAGGCCTATATGTAGGGCATTAACTTAAAGTGTAGATCACAGAGTCAGAAAGGATCTACAGTCATTGGAATCTCCGGAAAACTTATCTGGAGGGGCCAAGCGAGGCAACGGGACAGCATGAGATCCAGGAAGCGGCACCGCTGTCCACAGAGATACCAGACGAGACACCAGAAGAGACTCCTGTTTGGCCAGGTGATTGGGTGAGGGTGAAAGTTCACAAAAGACAGTGAGCTGATCCCTAGTAGGAGGGGCTGCCAGCTGTTGAGGATGAGCCGCAGCATCAGGTAATGCCGGAGCAGTGGCACCGGCGTCCAGGCGTGCCAACACACGATGCACCGCCTCCGCCATGTCGCTGATTTGGGTGTTGACCGAGGCTTGGAGTCCATGTTGCTGCTCCGCCAGGTCCCTCACTGCCTGGTGTATGACAGAGAACTTCTCCTCATGATGGTGTAGACGTTCGCCCTGAAGTCGTATCGCTGTTTTAACTGGTTCTGCATCTGCTAATTCCATGTTTTGGCCAGATTGTACTGTTAGGGCTGTACAAGGGCGTGGAATCAAATGCACGATGCAGAGACAAACAAAGTATCAAAATAAAGTGTTTTAATGTAGACAGGTCATAACACACTGAATACATAAAGCAACAAAACAAAAACTACTAATACACTAATCTAACTCTATGGACGATAACTCTATGGACAATGACAAAAGGATCTTACACTGGAAGGCTTGGAACACACAAGACAATCTGGCAACGAGACAGGGGAAGACGAGAACTATATATACTAGACAGACAACACCAGGTGAAGACAATTAGACAATCACAACAGTGGGAAAACAGACAAGGCAGGAAACGTACTTTAGACACATGAGGGTAGACAAGACTATCAAAAATAAAACAGGAACCTAACACTTACACACAACATGAAACCTAAACTAGGGAACAATCTTAGCAGAGCCGTCTACGCACAACAAATTGGGGTCTCACGGCCCCTACACACGGCGGCGTGCGTTGCCGCTTCAACGCTTCTGCCCATTCACTTTGAATGGGGTGACGTCACGATTCGCCGAACTGCATTGTGGGAGCAAAGCGTAGCTTCTCTCGCGGTGCTCGCTGCAAAAGTAGAGCAATGTTCTACTTTTGCCGCCTCGACGGAGGCGTCAGCCAATCAAATCAAAGGTGGCAGAGACAGTGGGTGAAACTGGTAGGTTTTCGCCTGTTTGGGGAGTTTATAGCCAGTGTACTTCGTTTGAATGGACAGCTAGCAAGCATCGACAGTATATTTAGCCAGCATGGATGTAGCATGAATGCTTTGCTTTGTATGTCCGGGGCGGGACATTCATGTGATTGGTTGTTGGTCGCGTTGTTCGTAAAAAATCCCCAAGCTTCAGACACGCCCACCGCCAAGCGGTAACGCACGCCGCCGTGTGTAGGGGCCGTTACTTTGACTTGAAGATT